AGAAGAAGAAGAAACAAGAAGGGGGGGTTAGTGGCGAGTTAGTTTCCAGGAGGGCAGGGGACAAACCCGTTGTTGGCGGCGTAGTAGACGGGGGTCCAGTCTTCCTTCTCGCGGGCGTCGATGTTCGCGCCGAACTCGTCCACAAGCACCTTGACGAGGGCGAGATGGCCCGACCTGCTCGCGTAGTGCAGCGCCGTGCTGCGCTTGTTGAACTTGGCGTGCGAGAAGGCCTTGTTGACGTCGGCCCTGGGGGCCTTCATCAGCTCTCGCACCAGCCCTATGTCGCCCGCATCCCCCGCCAGCAGGATGTCCATCCTCATCCCATAGTGTCTCCCCTTTGGCTCTGCTTCCATGTTTGTGTTGTGGTGTTTGAGGTATTGTAAAAATAAAAAGTACAAAGTACAAATACTGGCGCGTTTCGAGTTCTTTCCGTTTCTCAGTTCGAAGAAATTATCCGAAGAATAAGAGAGTATTGGAACATAAAAGAGCATACCAAGATATTGTCCACTAGCAAAGTGTCGTTTGGCCAAAGTGCAGGTATTGGAGTTGTATTAAAGGTAGTGCATTGGAGTTAAAACAGAAGTATCAAATATTGCTGCATGGGGGAAAGGATTGATAGGGAGTTAAGTACACCAGGGCACTGAGCTGCACCACATCTGATCCACCATGGGCTTGAGTTCCACACTGCCCTGCCTCACCTCATGGAGCAGCTGCTCCTTGTTGAGGCCTTTGGTGCCAATCAACTTCTTTAGGTCAGCCTGGGCAAACAACAGCTCCAGCTGGGTCTTGTCCTTGGTCTCAATGTGGTTAAGGATCTGGTGACCAAAGTTGATCTGCTTCAGCACCTCACTCCTCTTGGCCTCAGGCTCTTCAGCAGGTCAAGACAGGGCAGACTGGTCACTTGTCCTTGGCCTTGACATTGGCCAGGCAGCCAACATTGTCACCACAGCAGATGTCAACCCACAGCTCATCCAGGGTGCCATCCAGGCACCTGAGCAACCACTCACCCTTCCTCCAGCCAGCCTTGAGCTTTGATGATGCACATGAGACCCTTTTCAATGGTGTCAGCATGGGCTAGCTGCTTGGGTGTGTTCCACTCACAGATGTCCTTGAGCAGCACAGTGTTGTCCCAGCACTTGAAGTGGAACTGCTGCCACTTCTTGCCCCTCTGGGCAAACAGGCCACACACAGCCAGTCACTGCTCATGGCACATGGTGTCACTGTGTCACAGGCAGCCAGTAGCAGACATGCATGCAAAGCTGCCAGAGCACTTAATGTCAGCTGGAGTTAGCAGGGCCAGGCCATGGTGGACCCTGACCTCAGCCTACCCTTCAGCTGCTGCTCATGTCCCTCAATGACCACTGGGCTTGTTGAAGGTGTGGCTGACCTGCTCCTTGACACTGCTGACAAGCTTGTCCTTGACACCCTCCATGGCAAGCTTGGTGTCATCCAGTTTGTTGTTTGTGGGCATGTTGATGTGATTGTTAGAGAGTTGCTGATGTTTTGTTGGTGGTGTGGCTGCTGTTGTATGGTTAATGATGAATGCCCTGTTGTGTGAGAAGGAGTCACCTTCTCACGGGCTGAGCTGCCCTCGGCGTGCGACGGAATTTTCCCGTCGGAGTCCGACGACAAAGAACACGTGTTTCCCCACCTGCTCCAATAAAACGGAGCACAGTGCACCACTGCACTCTGTCTCTTCTTCTACCCTCTCTCGTCCACACGTCCACACTCGCTCTGCTCAACACTGCTGCCCTAACACGGGCGCCCGCGTTGGCAGGCTCAGAGGCGGTGCCGCCACCGATGACGGCTGTCTTGCCTCCCTTGGCCATCCGGCCAGCTCCCGTGCGACCAGCGTTCGCTGGCCCAGTCGCACCCAACCCGTTCGCCTCGCACATGCTGCCCACATCGACAGCGCCCACCGCACCGCACCAA